CAGCCCTTCCTGAGGCTCTCGCTGGCTCTCAGGTGGATCCAGCCGCTTTCTCCCGACCCTGGGGTTCCCGCGGCAGGGATGGTGCCCGGGCAGTGTGAAGGGCACTGACCCCCGGCTCTGGCACCCCCGGCTCCACCCTCACCATGCCCTYGGCTTTCAGGCTCCCTGCAGAACGGCTCCCGCTGGGCGCTCTCCTTCGACATGTCCTCGCTGTCCAGCAGCCAGGAGGTCAGTCTGGCTCAGCTCCGTGTCCGCCTGCCCAGCCTGTCCCGTGCCCACAACGTTTCCCTGGACATCTACCACAGCCAGCGGCGCCGGTGCCGGGGCGATGGGAGCTGTGCCCACCAGCTCCTCCTGGGCACYGTGACTAGCAGCCCCTCTGCCACCCAGACCTCCTGGAAAATCTTTGAGGTCACCAACCTGCTCCGGTCTTGGCTGCACCAGGCTGTGCTGCCCGGGCACCGCAGTGCCCCGGGAGAGGGGCAGTGGGAGCTGAGTGGATCTGCTGCCCCCACCACCACCCCTGCCCCGAGAAATGCCGGGCACGGGGATCCAGCCCTGCCCCAGGACGTGGCAGACACGGTCCTGCTGCTCGTCTTCTCCAAGGACAAATCTCCGGGAGACCACAGCCTGATCCGGACAGCGGAGAGCTCCAAGTACATCATGCGGGACAGCGGCTCCCCGGGCACCGGGGCGCGGCGGCAGCGCAGGAACAGGACCGAGAGGCAAAGGATCAAAGCGAGCGATGCYGCTGCAGCCCTGGGGCGGGAGCAGGGCCGGGCCCTGTGCAGGAGGGTGGACATGGTGGTGGATTTCGAGCAGACGGGCTGGGGCAGCTGGATCGTGTACCCCAAGAAGTACAACGCGTACCGCTGCGAAGGGCTGTGCCCCTCGCCCGTGGACGAGACCTTCAAACCCACCAACCACGCGTACATCCAGGTAAGAGGAGCTGTCCCCGTGCCCCCCGTGCCCCCCACGCTCCCCAGCGCGGTGCCAGGGATTATTTTGCCCTTGCCGTGTCTCCCGCAGAGTTTGCTGCAGCTCTACAAGCCCAGCCTGGTGCCGTGCCCCGCCTGCTCCCCGGTCAAGATGAGTCCTCTCTCCATGCTCTACTACGAGAAGGGCGAGATCGTCGTCCGCCACCACGAGGACATGATCGTCGAGGAGTGTGGCTGCAACTGAGGCCACCCYGTCCCCTGCCAGGAACGGGCACATCTCTGCCCAAAAATGCCCGACGGAGCGGCACCCAACCCCCGGCCGCTGCACAGAGCAGGGCATCGCTGAATCCCGCACGCCTGTGGGTTGGCACAGCCCGGGCTGGGCCGGGGGAGCAGTGAGGCGGTGCCTGGCACATCTGCAGCACATCTGCAGCACATCTGCATGGCCACAGTGCCCGGCTGGACCCGGGCTCCAGGTGGAAAAGGCCAGCAGACATTTCCCGGTGGCACATGGCAGCTCTGGGTGCTCCGTGCCCGGCTCTGGGTTCCCAGGGAGCTGCTGTGGCTGGGTCAGAGGCAGGAGCTGAGCACGGCAGCATCAATCCCTGCCACAAACTATTCAAAACACGCAGCAACGCTGCTTTCCCAGCCCTGGGAATCACCAGCAGCCACAGCTTCTCAGGACACCACAGCTCCAGGGTCTGGTCATGCTGAGCATCCACCGGGATTTTCAGTCTCCCCTGGGGTTTAAGCATTTCTCCGAAGAATTCTATGATATTTCTATGAAAACAATCAGATTTCTATTAGAGCTCAGACGGGTGAGTGTGTTACCCACTGTCCAGATGGGGGGCAGCTCTTACAAATGAGTAACCACAGCTCTGCTCAAGCCTTTTCCCCCCTCGCTGGATGGGGTGGGAGCAAAAGGGTCACAGCTGTACAATTCATCAATAAATTATACATATATATTAAAAATACCCGTTGGACTCTGCTGATTTTTGTTGATGSTCTGTTGATGGGTATGAGTCTCCCTTCTCTGTGCCCATCCATTGCACCCAGAACTCCTCCCTGCTCCGGGATCATCTGTGGCTGCTCCTGAAGCTGCCAGAGCAAACGATGCAAAAGATGCTCCAAAGCTCCAAATCTCACCTGAGATAAGGACGAAGCCGTTCCCACCCTGAGGAGGGATTGCTCAAGAGCAAAGGAAGCACCTGCAGGCGTGGAAGAGGAGGCTGAAGGGATTTTCATCCTTTATTTGCCCCTCGGAGATAAGGGAAGGGCCCTTTTCTAAGGGGGTGACCGTGTCCGGGGGTGATGGCCGGGGGTGCCCGTGTCCGGGGTGATGCCAGGGGGTGATGCCCGGGGTGATGCCAGGGGGTGATGACCGGTGGTGATGGCCGGGGTGGCCGTGTCCACTCTCATGGCAGCCCTGGTTAGGAGCTGCTCCTCCTGGCACACAGAATCACCCCTCGGGATTGACCGCGCTGCCCCCGCTGCAGCCCCGGCCCGGCTTTGGGGTGCCCCAAACTCACAGCTGCCCCCGTAGATGGGGACACGGCGCTGTTTTGGGGACCCGCTGGTGGCCCCCGGGCGGGGAGGGGACGGACGGGGCCACAAGGGACAGGACTGGCGGCGGGTGGCCCTGGTGGCCGCGCAGGATGGGACAGGAGCCACCCCCACCCCGCCCCTCCAGGAGCGGACCCGCCGCTCCACATCATCCCAATCCACATCCCAGCCGGCGGATAAACAAAGCGTGTCTGGTGTTTCCCCCGCCCCAGCAGAGCCTCCCCGGGGCCACTCACATATTCCAACAGCTTTCACACTGCTGTGACCATCCCGTCATTAGAGGGTCATTTGCAGGAGCTGTCAAGGGTGGGCCGGGGGCGCGGGGCTGACCCCCAGCAGGGAGCAAAGGCAGGCAGGAACCTGCACATCTGCGCTCTGGCTGATGTCAAATCACATTATTTTGCCTCTTTCTCCACAGTTTTGCTACTCTTATTCCAAAACGGATCCAAAGCAGGGGGATTCACTCCCCCACACCCCCCTGTGCCCCCTCTGGGTGCTCTATCTCTGCCATCTCCGCCCTCCGTCAGAATCCAGCAGAGGGTTCAAAAGCTGTGGCGGGGCAGGGGGAGGCAGCAGCCGTTCCCTGGGAAGAGCAGGGTGGAAAAATAAAGGCTGAGATTCCAGGGCTGTAAGGAAAACATCAAAGTGTGGACARTGACAATAAAGTCGGGGTTAGGCGAGGATCTGCTGGCGAGCCGGGCTCTGCCAGGCTCGGGCTGTGAGGGGGGAACTGAACTGAGCAGGGAGAGCTCAGGCTYTGCTCCTGCCCCAATCCACATCGGCTGCGGGGTGGGATGTCCCCAGACAGGCAGGACAATAAAGCGGGGACAGCCCCAGCCCTGCCACGGGTGCTGCCTGTGACCCTTCAGCRTGGCAGGGCTGGGGACAGTGACAGATTTGTGCCCCGGGAAGGGCTGCATTGGCCGGGGCAGAGCAGGCACGGGTTATTCCGGACACACGGAAAGGAAAGAGTGAGAACAAACAGACCGAGAGGTTTTATCACGGGCTCGGGGTAATATTTGTACAAATGCATTAAAGCACGAGCGGGGTCAGGCAGGTGGTGTTTGTCCTGTGGCTGGGACACCGAGCAGGAGGCAGGGACACTGAACAGGACCCGGGGACACCGAGCAGGACACAGGGACACCGAGCAGGAGGCAGGGACACGGAACAGGATGGAGGGACACCGAACAGGACCCAGGGACACCGAGAAGGACCCGGGGACACTGAACAGGACACAGGGACACCAAACAGGACACAGGGACACTGAACAGGACCCGGGGACACCGAGGAGGACCCAGGGACACTGAGAAGGACACAGAGACATGGAGAAGGACCCGGGGACACTGAGCAGGACCTGGGGACACTGAGCAGGACCCAGGGACACTGAGCAGGACCCAGGGACACTGAACAGGACACAGGGACACCAAATAGGACCCAGGAACACCGGCTGTGCTCTGCTGTGCTGTGCTGTGCTGTGCTGTGCTGTGCTGTGCTGTGCTGTGCTGTGCTGTGCTGTGCTGTGCTGTGCTGTGCTGTGCTGCGCTGCTCCGCCTGCTGGAGTCAAAAAGGGGCTGGGATGGGAAATGCAACGACAAAGCCAACTTGTCCCCGGACCTCCCCGGAGCATCCCAGCTGTGCCTCTGCCACCCAGACTGTGTCCATCCCTCCCTCCATCCCTCCAGCTGTGCACAGCTGGGCTCAGCCCGTGGAAAAGCAGCTCCACAGCCTGGGAGTGCAATTGTCGGGTGAGGAACRGGCTCTGCTGAGGAAGGGATGTGCTCTGGAATTCTGAGCTGCTCTTGCAAGGCTCAGCCCAGCTCGGAGAGCTGCAAACATGAACACAGCGCAGGAGAAGGATCCACAATGGCTGAAGGATGGAGCAGATGGGGGYGTGAGGGGGTGTGAAGGGTGAAGGAGCAGAGCAATGGGATGCTCAGACCACTTGGTCCCACACCACCAGTAAAAGGGTTTGAGGAATGGGCTTAGGACAAATTGCACCCGAGCAGATGTCCACGAGTGTCACATCACCTCATCACACCCAACTCTCTGTGCCCCCCACAAGTGCCCTGATGCCCCCATGGCCCCGGGGCCCTGCACCGGGAACCCAGCAGGAGTTCTGCCCCTCCCGCCGGTCCCTGCTCACACCTGGCCAGGTGTTCCAGGGGTTCCTCCCTCCCCTGCATTGTAGCCATGAATCGCTGTGCAGGCACCTGGTGCTTTGATGCTCTGCCCATCTGCATAAGCAGCAGATACCGATGCAAAGCTGCCAAAGCGCAGACAAAACACTTCACACCTCCAGCACGTGTTACCTGTCCTGCAGGTGGGAGGGGAGAGCGTTACCTGCAGTACCTGACACCCCAAAAAACGGACAGCTGCTTTGTACTGACCCCAAATCCACGGACCACAACGCTCCAGGCTGAAATCAGATCGTTTGTGCCCCAAATGTTTGCAACAGCTCCAGGCTGAAATCAGATCGTTTGTGCCCCAAAGTGCCTAGATGTGCAGCCCTCAGCTTGGGATGGTGATCCCAGAGTCACCAGGGCCACCAGAGTCCTGGGGGACACAGGGAACACTGCCCAGACCCAGCTCAGGACAGGTGAGGGTGACACCCCCTCCTGCTGAGAGCTCCTTGTGCAGGAATCCTGAGGGTTCCCTCAGTGCAACCCTTCCCAAACCCACACTGGAGTGATAATTCCCAATAATTCCCATAATTCTGATCAGGACAGAGCAGAACGAGCCCCAGCACAGAGCAGGGATTTGCTGCCTGCAGACCCTGCCCAGCCTTTCCTAAAGTAGGGAAACTTTGGGGGGATTTAACATCGACATGGGAAAATTTCCTGACCCCAAAACTGCTCTGTCCCTGCTGAAATTGCCCCTCTGAGCTCGGGAGGGGCTGGACTGCAGATGCCCCATAACCCAGCAGTGCCATTTTTAACCAAAACCACCAATTTAGCACAGAAAAGTCAACCCCAGGGGCAGCAGCTCCTCTCCAATCCATCATCAGAACCAAACTGGTGGAGCTGAGACTGATAAAGTCACACCAGAGGGCAATAAATTTGGATTTGTTCCCATTAAGGTTTCAGAAAACCCCTTAAATCTTATCTCAGAGAAATGCAGGTTTATCTGCAGCAACTGCTTTGTTCTGTTACTCATTATTGAGGGTTTGCATATCATAATGTCACCACTGAGCCTCATTAGCAGATATTTAAGGGTTATCTACCAAAYCTGATTTGTGGTTTAGGAAGTCTGGGTTTCAGGCTGTGCCCCCAYAGGGATTTTCCTCCTTTGAGGTGTCCCCACCTCCCCCCTCAGCAGCAATGTGTGTCCCAAACTGCCCAGGTCACATTTACCAAACCCCACTGAGGCTAAAAATGAAATTATTTGCTCGGGAGACCCAAACWGAACCAAAATCAACTTTCTCACATGAAAATTCCCCTCTTGAASCCAGACAGGCTTTGTTTCTCACATCCCAGTGAAACCCTCTTCTCCAAAACTCTAAAAGGAGATAAAAAGGAGAAGAAGGGTAAAGCAGCATGGAYCAGAAACACAGGGAGAGAAATGCCACCTGATCCATTTTAATGCTCAGCTCGGTGTTTTTTGCTGGAATAAGGGACAGAAGCCACGTTTATTGCATTCATCTCCACACCAGGAGACTCCACSTGATTTTTATTCCTCCCTCATATTGCATTTCTGTAGCTGTTTTACAGTATTAAAATGATCAACAAAAAGCATAAAACTGGAACCAAAACCAAGGGGYGAGAGGGTCT